ATGTTGCTGATAAGAATAATTAAGTTACTGAAATATCAAATTTTTCGATAACCCCAACTTTCAACATTTGGTTCATCGCAATTTGCATGACTCCAGCACAGCATTTATTTTCATCAGCAACATGCTTAGCACTGTTGGGTTAGACAATCAGTACAGCTTTGGAAAGTTTTCATTTACCCCGAAGAAAGAAAAATTGCTGAAGAAAACACGTTTGGCTGCCAGGGGTCATTAGGGGATCATGGGTCAGCGAGTGTACGCTTAATACTATGCGTTTACATGTCCAAGTTTGCACTTAGTATGAGTAATCTTTTTGTAAAAGAATTGGCTTCGCTTGAGAGGGATTCAGCAATAAGGAAAATTCAATGGAAGCGTTTTACGCTGCACCAAATATTACGCAGCTGTTTTGGGGTTTGGCAAAACGACTTTGGACCATTCTCTTGTGAGGTCGGCCTTTTAGGGGAGAGGAGCGGATGGATATACGATTTTATATCCGCTTAAGAAAAGTAAACTTAAAAGTAAAGAGAAGTAAAAGAAAAAACTCAAAAGTTTGAACTCTCTGATGTTTAAGTCAACTCTTGAGCAAGCTTGGTGAAATATTCACACAATTTAACAGTATAAGCTCTGTAGCTTCAATGATAAGTTAAGGAGTCGGCCACTACTAATCTTTCTCTATGAAATAAGTAACATAATAATGGGAATTCTGGCAAGGTTTTCAGAATCAATTAAATGCTAAGTTAACTTATGCTGCAGACGAAAACGCTTCAGTACTTTCTTGAGAGAGAGAGAGAATAACTGTAAACCACATGCCAAAATTCACTGTATTTTGCCAGAAAAGAGTAATTAGTGATCGTGCCCATTCTTAATGAAACAAAATCTAGTAGAATCCTCCTCAAAGAGCTAGCTCAAATCTGCTTTCGCTATCTGCTGACACACTCTCAGGACTAGGCTATGAGCTTTTTTTCGCGTCAGTTTTGCAAGGTGGGCGCATCGAAAAAGTTGAAATTGGAATTTTGAAACAAACTCATTTAAAACAGGTTATCCTTGCCTACCATAATATTTCTTGCTTGTAATGCTGTTTTTATCAAATTGGAAAGTTGTGTGCATATTTTGATGGTAGAACGTCACAACGTGTCATTGGAGAACCGCTCAGATTGACCACAGATTAAGAATTAGCGTTCCAAGGCGCATCAAAGGCGTGCCCCACTTTTATTTCATTTGCGAATATGCTTATTTCATATTCTCTTGGCCTAAAAAGTAATACAGTCTTCTAAAAACTCAAAAAGATGCTTATTTTTTTGTGAGCAAATTGTCTTCCAAGTCGGATTTTGGTGTTTTCGTCATTGCCAACAATCTCATTAGCGCTACTTAATACTACCAATTGATTTCTTGCGACGTTGCCACAGGATTGTCATAATGTGCTTTGTACCCTTCTATGACAGTGCTTCCATTAATTCGAAGATTATTGGAGAATCTCACCGTTTTTTTTTTTTTGGATTTCCAGAGTGAGGGCATAATATTCATAAAAAGATCATTACTGCACCAATCATAATAGCATCGAAGGTTTGCAAGAACACAGCGGTCTTCTAGCTATATGCCACATTGTCAATGCTGGACCTTGCAGAGAATGAAAATCTACTGACTTAACTGATGAAAGAGAATGAGGTTCATTAACTGTCTCTCCATGAAAGAAAAAAAATAAATTGTGTAAGGCCTCGGGTGGAGTTCAAGGTTTTCATCGCTTCGCGATTCTCCAACAGGGCAACAGTTACGAATCCATTACATGCCGACCGTCTTGCATTTTGGTTGTGATAGTTTTCTCACACAACTAATCATTAATAACTATCGCAGAGATGTAAAAATATGATTATTTGAGCAGTTTCGATTTCTATCCATAGAAAAATATAGCAACCGTTCATATAAATCTTTGGTGGGGAGTTTTACATGAATAAGTGCAGGACGAGTACTCATTTGAAGTTATTCAATGTTGAGATTTTCATCAATTGAATGTCTTCAAACTTCACGTAAACCAAACTTTGTGTGTGCGAATGTTTGGAAGGCAATCTGCGGAGCACGCTTTGCTTTTTTGACTAGGAACTTCAGCCTCACTTCAGAAACAGAAATAATTGATTCGTTGACTGATCTCATTCCAGAGACGGAATGGCGTATATGTCATTTTCGCCATATAAATTCAAAAAGTAAAACTCGGTCATGTATTATGAGCCATATCAAACTTGATTTCCGTATATTTCAATTCGCTCCTTCCGTTTTTCTGAAGCAATATTGCTTACACAAGCTTTTTTCTTTAGTACTCTGCGTTGATACCACTGCTT